TTGATTTGATGGGTCTGTCCCATCTTCTCAACAATGACAGGCTGCGTCGGGTTCGACATTACTTGGCTTCACAGCCGCTCCCGGATATGATGGTCGATGGCGAGAGATATCCAACTGCCACATGTGCTTGGTTAAGGAATTTCATTGTTGATTCTCCGTATCGGCTGAACCTTGATCGAGGGCGACTGCGTGGCCTGAGGCTGGATGACAATGCCAGTCACAATATAAACCGGGGATTCGGGCTTTTGTGGGACTTTGTGGAAGCATGCGGTTCAAAAGCCAGATGTGCAATAAATGAGAGGAGCAATCTCGATGCAGCAAACAAGGAGGACCAGCTCCGATGGTTTCAGGTAAATATTCCCTAGTCATTGTCTGTTCGGCGTCTCCAATTCCTTCTCTTCGTTTCTCTTATTGCTCTGAAATTCTTAACTAACACGCCTGGCGCCCTCCTTTCTCAGTACCGTGACATTCAGCCGGCGGAAACAGAGCACATGCTTCAGATCTGGCATGTCCTGAAATCTTTACTGTTACAGCATTCTGCCCTAAAACAGACACGGAGGCCAGGACCGGACAGGCATGCTCGTGTGGAGTTCATCTCGTATACTCATCGCGGCCGCATGCTAAAGCTTCACGCAGAAGGAAATGTCATTGGATTCATGAAACGCGGATTGGGAGAAATCCAGCAATATCTGACGGGGCTAATAAACACGGGGCATCCGTTTTGGGATGGATCCAGTATTGACAGGTTTTTCGAGGAAGCTTGCGTAGAATGGCAAGACAAGTAAATTGAATGGCAGGGATGCTGCAGCCCTGTAGTCCGTTATACTTTCCGTGTTGATTCACTATACCTATATATCAACCCTATTATACTTCTATATTCGCGAACTAAACTGAACGAAACAGCTTAGCACTTTCATCCGAGGGCCTATTTATCTGAAGGCATACTTGAAGGGCCTGCTTAAAGGGCCTGCTTAAAAGGCCTGCTTGAAGTTAGGATCTGAGGTACACACCTAGAGCAGGCAGATTCAATCCACAGCATCTTCTCATTCGTGCCTGTCCTCACTCAACAAAGTGGTATGATAAAAACAGTCTCCTGCCTCGGCCTACTCTACGTGACAATCAATATCTTCCTCGATTCAAACAAGAATTACCTAGATCCAAGCAATCTTTGAAAGGATTGCTGTCGAGCTTCTGCCTCCGCTTCCGTCCCTCATACTAGTCACAAGGTGCTCTATACTCGCCAAATTCATCAGCGGTGGGAAGTCAATAATTGTTCAACAGCCGGTTTTGGACCGAGAACCCTTCAGTGGTGTTGCTTTTTCACGAGCATGATAAACCTGGCTTTAGCTCCAGGGCCTAATATAGCCACACAGCTACTCAAAGGCACAAACCCTACCCCAGCGCAACTCTATTTGTCCTCCCAATTATATCGTATTTTGTCACCTCCGTGCCTGCCTCGGGATGGATTTTCTTGAATGACTCCTCGCCATACTTGGAAGTCCCAAAATTAAATAGCCTGGTGGTTGCCAGCGAGAGCCAAGCCAGGCATCAGCTTTCTAACGGCTTAAGTAAACCGAGGTATCGTGGCTTTTAGTCACGGCTCAGCGTGAGGATTCTATGGTATCATTCTTACTAGAACGCCACACGAAAACATCTTAAAATCTGTCAGCCGAGAGCATTGGCAATTATATGCCATCAACATCGTTGACCCCGATGATGCCAACAAAGGAGTTGTTCGTTTCAGCCAGCCTCCGCCAAAGGAAAGGCGACGGCTTGCACACTCATCAAGAACCCCAACGGCTCAGTGCCCAGTCCCCATCCAGAAGCAAAGTCAAAGTCGGCGCGGAGAACTTCAGTATACTGGAGGGCTGCCGAAGTAAGCCTCTGCCACTCACGCCAAATTCCGCATGGCAATTACGGTCATTCGAATCTCAAGACGACCAAGAAGGCTTCCCCTCATCTTGGAATGCTATTACTCTAGCAGATAATATCCACGGCGTGTTTGCGGATGAAATTGAGCTTCAAGATCTATGCCAGCCATGCTTTCCAGATACGGAAGCGCCTCTGGAATGCGACGATGCTGGAAACGAGTCTGAGAGTCGGCCACTACTTACAACAGCACGTAGATACAAGACCAAAAGCCACCGTAGCTCGTCACGGTACAGCAAGACATCAATGCGGATGTACTGCAGGGTAGAGGCCACAGCTCTAGGACGATCGCAGCGCAGTGTCTTCGCGTCCCTCCCATTGTCTCTCCCATTCTCGTCCTTCCGCATGACGCGGGGTATCAGAAAGTTGTTTTCGGGATACAATCGACTGTGCAACGTTTCAAAACCCAGGTGCATTAATGAACATGACTTTTGGCTATTGTTGAAAAGATTCTTCGGCCTGGTGCCACTTCCGCCATCGCTTTCGGGGCTTTTCCCTGCCAATGATGAGATCCCCTACCTCAAAGATTATTTAAGATCCAAACCAGTCCCGGTACAGCATAGCGACAGTAGAGATAGCGATAGAAACCTGGTCAAAATCTGCACGAGGTTGGCAGAGTGGGTTTTCCATCCCCAGTCACCAGCTACAGATTGGGAGATGTTCCAGGGATTTGGGCTTGTTCATCGATTTTGCAACGAAATGGAGTGCAGAGAGCTGGATCCCTCGAAATTGACGGTCCAAACAGCGTGGCTTCGGGTAAATTCTGCCTTTTGTGCACACTTTCAAAGCATCGGTACTAACGCACATCCAGAAACATAATATTTCTTTCCGGAAAGGCCAATGTATGTTGCAGGTTTGGGAGACTTTGCGGTATTTGCTGTTAAAGAAAAAGCATTTTGATCCGACGCAGATAATAAGGGGCGGGCTCCATCAAGTATACTTGGCGCTCTTGACCCCGGGGCTCAATGCCGACGGTCGCTCCGGTAGCACACCGGCCACTTCTCCAAAAGGACTGTCGCGATAAGGTGGGCGACATGCGTAGGTTCTGAGCCACTGACTCTATTGGTGATCTTTCCCCCGGCGCGCTGTTCGTAGTTCAAAATTTCCTCATTTTTCATTCAGTGTCCAGCTTCACCTGACATAATCTATCTGCTACTGTAGCTTCTACTCTCTGACGAATCTGATGTAAACGTTCTTCAGTAAAAAAAGATTGGCATAATTACTGCATGATGATATCTCTTCGAGTCATCACTTTTCCTCCCAACCAGTAAACGTTTGGACCGGGTCTTTCCTATTAGCGCTCCAAATTTGGAACACGCAGGCTGTCGAGCCTTCACATACGGAGAAACATCCTGGCTTGGCTACATTATCACACATTTTCTTCCTTGTGCATATGCTCATAATAGGCATTTTGGCAGTGTAGGACGACCCCAGCACATGAGTGGAGTGGTGTGCCCTTCTGAAAGCTCAACGTCTCCGGCACATGAGCATTGAACCAAAGTTGGATTGACGCTGAAGAGCATAGACCATGGTCTCGGTGCCGCCCATGGCATTCGCAAACCTAGCTTGTCAGTGGAAAGATTGTAATAGACCAAAAGTGGGCGTCTCATCATGTGCCATTTTTGAACGGTGCGTTTGGGGCCAGGGATGCAAGATGTAACCTGTTCATGAAAGGCGGTAGCACAGTTTCGTGATTATTTTGACATTATATAGCCGCTTCCTCCCCTTCAAACACGGAGCTACTAAAAACTATGGTAATCAATATCTCATTCACTCCAAACACTTCATAATAGTCTATTTCATATGCGGATATATAAAACGCCAAATATCTTACAGTGGCTAGGTTCCTAAGAGCAAGAGGGCGGTGAGAAAGGGGCAGGAATAAACAATCAACACACTGTATGAGGAAAACCTGAACGGTAATTCTCACATTCTGTAAGAAGATTCATGCTATTTGTGAAGTAACGTTACATCAAGTTGAACATCAGCTCAATCAAGCTTCGCTTCTGATACCGCCAATCGCCAGGTGTACGTGTGGTAAGCTTCGAGACTCAGAATCTGCTCCGTTCGCTCTACTAAACTATATAATCCTCCGCAGCCGCTTGTCGTCCTCCCCGCTCGTATTGAGGATACTTTGGACGTGCCAAAGATTTCAACCTGATATTGTCAAATGAGAGCTGAAAATGTCACAATAAAACTATCGATATCTGGTTGAATATCTTCTCTATTTTCAATTAAAACAACTACCAGTTCTGGGCATTCTTCAATTTAAACATCTGGCGCAAGACTTTGAACTATAAGACCAATTTCAAACATTCAATTTCCCTCAAATATCGTGCTTTGCATATCATCCGGTGGATCACACCGACTCGGAATTAGCATACGTAGAATCACCTCAATTTTTGACCTACTAAATTTCTCCATTACTACTCACTAGTTGTGTTGCAGGGCTATCACAGACGGTGAGACTTTGGTGGTAAGAAACAATAAGCTCAGTGACAATGGTCATGGCCGCTACAGGTTTAACCTTTCTTCGGTAAATTATGCGTGATGAAGCCCGGCTCACATAGGGCCTGAGCCGTAGGAGTTCATCTTATATGTTTTATGTCAAGACAAGTTCAATTATCGCATGAAAATAAGTCAAAGCTAAATTCCGGTATTCTTCGCGTTCATCATGTTTCCACGGCTATTTGGGGAGGATGAAGGCTATTGCCTTCCCAAGGTGTAAAGTTACACAAGTGCACTGTCAAGCTAAGACAAAGCCTTTATTCGCACATGCAAAGGAAGCTGGTTACTCTGCTCATTCACGAGATCTGATATTTGGCGAGCAACTTCCTGTTTTGCTCTAGTCCTAATCGATACAGTTTCATGATGACCGTCTGTGTGGCTGCCCTGGTACAAACTGACTGCAACATGGGCTTTTTTAAGAGTGTAGCGCCATCCTCCAAGTGAGACAGCAATGGCACCTGCAGATCATCTTGTCACGTCACCAAGACAGGGCGTATGCTACTACCCAGGGAAGCCATACAGACGGTACCAAGCATTTGTTGTCGACCAGTAGGAGAAATAAATCAGGAAGGGACCGAATGATGATCAAAGAAAAGTCCGGATGGCGGTAGCGATGGGCCCGATTGTTGAGAGTTGAACCTTGTCAGTTGCTCTCCACGAACCATGTGGGCCATCTCGCCGTGCCCACATCGATGTGTACTTTGCAAGTCGGAGCTCTGAGTTTGTGATGCACTTGCGACAAGCTGGTCATTCTGTGAGACTGACAGGCACCTTGTCCCTTCATGAGCGAGTTGTTTCCCGATATCGGACTCTATTCTGTCAGATTCACGAGCTCTGGAAGTTAAACAAGCGCTTGGGTAGGGAGTCTCTTCAGTCGGAGACAAAAAGAGATCCGCGTTGAGCAAGTTATCCAATTCGCTAACGTGATGGACAACAACAGATGGGGAGAGTAGGGGCGACGCAGGGGTGATTGATTGGGCGGTTGTGTCCCGCACTCTGATACCTCGTTCTGCTTCGTACCATTGTCGCGCTGACTTCGTTCCCTCCCACCGGCACAGATCATTGATCTCCGATTGAGTCAAGTTAAAATCATCAAACACTTGAAACAATTTTCGATGCCATCGAAATCGACTCAGTCGCAAGCGATGCGGTGGGTATGAATAATCTAGCCCGGGATATCGCACTTCAATACGGTTTGATGGACCGTAGAACTGTAATGTCTCCAGTCGTACCTCGGGCACGAGGTATTCCATAATTAGAGCATCGATTGACATTCTTCCATATGCCGGAGAGGAGACAAACGTGGTGTTAAAGACGACCTTGGCCCACGATGATTTTCGCATATTTGCAGAGGGAATTCAATTTGAAATGGCTGTCTGGGCTGCACATGAGAAAATGACCAGGAGTGATATTTGAGTAGGTTGTTTAAGTAATTGGGGAATTTTCTTTGCGTTCTATTAATAAACCCGAGGTGAGAGTCTCTCTGAAGCGAGCGAGGTCAAAGACCTTACCGATCACAGCTCGGGTGCACCACCAATATCTCCTAGTGCGGATAGCCAAAAAAGCCAATACCAGCTATATCCGTCACCTCCGCTACTTCCAATGCATCTAACAATGATCTTGACCATTATCAAACTTATCTTCAAGGATGTTGCTCACAGATGGTCCATTCCCGTTGGTTGAGCAACTACGCCTTGCTCTCCGTACACGACTCCATATCATAGTGCGGCAATTAAACACGCCCATCAGATGATCGGTCAAGTAAAGGATGGGCGTTTGAGTATTCTTTGGCGGCAATAATGATGCACTTCTGGCAATTACTGGAAACATGGGGTTTACAGTTTACCGAGACAGTCTCTGGTACCAATGAACTCAAAAGCACAACGGGGCCGTCTTTCTAAGAAACACGCCGCGTCCAATGTGCCTTAGCAGGAAACGTAATGGAACAGGAAAAGCTGGCGAGATCATGCAAACTGGCTACTGTTTGCTGATGGCCCACGATAACAGGAAATGAATTGCTTGACAAATTTAAGACACAATTAACATTTTCGATATTTGGCAATCCCTTGGCCGAAGGTCGCAAAAGAGCGGCAGGCAAATTTGGCTTGGCCAACATATTTTCTTCGTCAGCTTTTTATTTAGGAAATCCTATTGATTGGAATAAGTTACAGAACGGTAAGATTATGGGGCCATCTCTCACCAACAGGCTAACGTATATGAGGCGCCGAAACAAGGCGGTGTGCCGAAACTTCACGTTGATACTTTCATCTTAAACGAGGAATAATTCATCAAATGATACTATTGTCGCATGAAAAGTTCGCTTTGATTACTCTTCATCCCTCTAGTTGTATAATTACTTCTTTGAAGTTAATAATACAGCGTGCTGATTAGGAGTGATTGTGCGAACAACCCTCCACCGTCATAGAATGTAACACAGCGGAACTAGGATAATTTCTCGCTCGATCGACGTATGGCTCCAGAATGTCTAATTTTGAGATTACACATGATTTCAAACCTAAATTCTCATATCAAGTATTAGTATTGAAATATTTCTTCCATAATGCGTGAGAACTGTATCTCTGAAGCTCGGTCTTGGGTACTTCATGCGACCGCACTAGTACCTCTGTTACGACCGATGTTACGACGGATTGCCAGGTCACGATCAATACTATATTGTGATTCGGTGTTACGGTAGTATATTAATTCCGGGGGTCCAAATTTGGCTCTGTCGGTCAACCACGGCTCGGGTAGTCTGGCTCTCCCTTGCACCCTATGTTTCCCTCGAGTTTCCTTCCTGATGTACAGCTCCCGTATCCACCACAACCGTCCATGCATACCACCGACCCAGCAACCTTAGCACTTGCTCGACTGATTGACTCAGCACACGGTCTAACCTGGCCTACCAAATCAGAAGTCTCTCACGTCCCAACATCTACCCTGTGACACCGCGCGAACGGACGCCCATCGAGGGAGGAGAAGGCAGCAAACCAGCAATATCCAACTACCTCGGAAGAAGATGATCTTGCTGGTTACCAAGAGTACTGCACTGTACTGTAACACTTGATCTAGTGCTACATTCTCGATAGATGTCAGACTCCGATGGATTCAAAGATGGGATGAAATCTCGAGGAGCTCCATTGAGTAGCTCGGGCCACGTGGTATGGAGCGAACGTGAGCACAGTCAACATGAGATGGCCAAGGAGGAAGATTTGGGAGCACCAGGATAGCTGGTTACCACTGAGAGAGAGATTTGAAATTAATTCGACTATGTAAATTGTATCAACAAACAAGAGCAATACATAGTTGGGCTAAATGGCTGGTTACGCAGCCACTAGACAATGATGAATGGCACGATTCGGACAGAGGTCCAGGGTAAGGGAAGAGAAATTGTGGAAGTGCAGAAGCTGCATCTCTAGATAAGACCTAACGTATATATACCGTAACGAGCAGAGTGACCGTGCCGAAATATTGCAAAGGTACTTCCCTCGCCGATCAAGAAATATCCACCATCTTGCATAGGCAGTTCGTCAAACTCATCAGGCGTATATTTGGTCACCTAATCTCCACTACAAACAAGTTACCATTGAGATCAGGTCCGATAAGCGGGGCTGTGACAACGGCGAACCTTAACCACTCAAAACTCGATTGGATCGCGAACAGGTCACACATACGTTGTAGACACCTCATGCTCCTCTCTACTCCATTTGCCAAGCAAAGCAAGCATCAAGAAGCTGCTTCAGCTGTTAGATGTACATATCATCATATTAAAATTTTTGGAAATCCGCGTCCATCGTGTGTGTGTCGGTACTTATCCTGGTATCTTTCACGAGTCAGGTACGACGTCATATTACTGACAACGTACGGTGACAGTACAGTACATTACTGCATTTTCGGAGATACCTTGATCCGCCAGATCCCAAATTTGGCGACAAGCTCTCGGCCCTGAACTATTATTCTCCGAGTTAAAAAAAACTGTTGCTAGCTTCCCCGTTCAGGCCATTCCCCATCGCGCGGTGTTTGACGCTGTGACACCAAATCCATTCATACGTGTTAGCGACTCAGCAACACTATCTCTGTCTAGACTAAGAGACTCTTCTGGATGTATCACATGGTCTGTTAAATCAGGGTATACTAAAGTCCCAGCATCCACCCTCTGGCATCGCGCCAACGCGCGGCAGTCGAAGAAAGAGAAAGCCGAAAAAGAGCGTTATCTTACGGACTCGGAAGAAACGGCTCTCCTATGCCGCTCAAGTTTTTTTAAAAAAAGCGTAACGTTCTTTTTCAAGGGCGGCCTTGGCTTCATTTAGCGCCAACTTGTGTGATCGGCAGTATCCAGCGGCAAGGGACTGGCCTACAGGCTCTTGTTCTGAGGCGCTTTCTTGCATCAAATGTGGAAAAATCCAAGGCGTATGCGCTTGTTCGGGCCTCAGTGGGATTGGTATGCTTATACGCGAACTCATAGCATGAAGAAACAGTACCTCAACGATCTACATGGGTACTGAAGCGAATTCGCCTGGCGATGCTACCGCACGAGATATCTACACCACTTGCCAGAATTTTCGGAGCTTTGTTGCAAACTGTTTCTCACCTTTTTGTGTAATGCAAGATGTCCACTACCTTTGGCTTGATAGCCACAATCAAGAAATTGAAGACTTCAGCCTGTTGTCCCCCACGCCTCAAACTTCCATTAGACACGTTTCTTCAGCGTCTACACTAGCCAAATCATTGGCTTGTACCAAAACAAGTTCCCCCTTCCCCGAACGCCCGAGCCCTGAAAGCCCCAAAGCGCTCCGAGTTAATTCCCCGATCTATAAATATTCATACGGCTCGTTCCTCCTTTTGCTGAACTCACCATCTCGCAGGAGTCCCTTCTAGACCGCTATTCCATGTCTAGTCTCCGCCGTTCCTCTAGCTTCTCTCTGTTCGCATTGAAAAGTCGCCGACATGCCGACTGTACAAGTCTCCTGACGCATACACCTCCACCTGTATGGGGTGATAACGAAACTTCAACCAGCACCAAACGGTGGACAGATGAATTTCCGAGATTTGAACATATTATTTACCATGGACCAAGGCAAGGGCCCGCCAGTTTTGAAGATGTTCACTCGTTTCTAGGTCCTGACCAGAGAACACCTTCAATGGCCGACCGTATAGGTCTTGCAACTCCCGCTCATCGTCCCAATAATACTCCACAGTATATGGAAAATGAGGCGGATGTAGTGCGGGTTTTCTATCAAGATATAATACCGCCGGTCGCTTTGGCTTTTTCGGGCCCAACGGCCTCTACATATCAGAGCCCCGAATTTCCGCTTCAAGAGGGCGGTGCTTTAATGAATCAGAGATCCGAATCTAGCACCCAAGGAGCTGCCCATAATATAGATTTTCAGATGGTGATGCCTCATTCCAATCTATCACTGAGTCGCACGGCTATCATTGGAGAGTTTAAAAAGCCTCGCTCAATTTTACCAAATGAATGGAAGTCGAGTGACCGTGGGTCATTTGGAGCAGTAACTCGAGCTTTGCAGAAGGAACTTCGAGGGTATGGTCACAATCTTCCCAACGTTACAATGCACACAGACTCACCGAGGAAACATATCCTTCTTCCTGGGCGGAAAACAGCCTTCTGATGATCAGAAGTGGACGCCAAACTTAGAGGCAGTACGGGCCTCCATACGTTTCGCCATTGCGACGGGCCGACTCGAGGCCACTTGAACATATCGACCAACATAACCCCCACCCCCTTCTTCCTACCCTACTTACCCACCACCTCGTGCTACACATGGTAGACGCGCTTCAACTGCCGAAGATAGGATGTTGAACACTTGGAGAAGCGCCTTCAAGCCAGCCTACTAACCCACTTACTAACCCACGAGAAACTCGCTGCGACACTGCTTTCTGGAAATGACACATGTTATAAGATTTTATGTATGGGCTTTCAGGAGATACAGCATATACAGATGGACATGTACAGTAGATCAGTGATAGTTGCCCTTTCGGCTCAGCCGCCGGGCGTCAATGAATTGTTTGTTTGTTTGTTTGTACCTGAATCGGTACGGCGGTGTTTGGTCTTCTATTTTCACATCATTGCATTTAGTCAACCCCAATATTGGGTGGACAGCTAACTTCCCCGCGTATTCCTTTTCCAACTACGAAGTCGTCTTTATTGTTTCTGTCTCCCCTGTGAGCTAATAGTACAGAGAACGAATCATGGCTGTTTCAAGACGAGCTTGATTTCTGTTTCTCACTCTGTGTTTGATATTTAAAATACGCGCTTGCTCATATATTTGGTGATAATTGCAAGGTTTCTTCCAAAACATCAAAGGGCATGTGCTAGTCTAATAGCGATAAGAACTGGTCCAAAAGGCCTCTAGTCTTATATTTGCAAGACCCACGCAAGCGTAGCCTAGCAATTCCTACGACTTGGCAAATATTGCCGGATTTGGGTGTGGCATGATTTGGGATACTAGAAGGCGGTCACATATTGTATAAGACAGGGAGCTCAGAAACTACGCTGAAGCTCTCCAGGCGCTTAATTAACACTGAATTGAACATACCTACAGTTTTAATCTCACTATCACAATCTCAGGCTAATTTAAGTTTGTTTTTCAAAGATATGAGACAAAAAGCGGATCAAGTACTGGAAAATCTTCCGTTTTAGCCGGTCAATTCAGCTCGTTACGGCTAATATAGGACTTGCATTACAAGATGGCTTGGCTATCCTACCAGGATGCGTCGATCTTGTATATGAAGAAGATGGTGATCCCGTGCCCTGGTTGCAGTACATAATCAAAAAGGGCGCTGTATTGCTTGCCCTTCTAGAGGTTCTTGCTAAATATTAAGGTCAAAGTGCGTATATGCCTATTCAATGGCCCTCCTGTACTTCTTCAAGCGTGCTGGCGGAATCCGTCCTAATTCTATTGTAAGGTTTTTCTCTTTCTTGCAGCACAGGTTTGTCTGTCTATCCAGCAACACTTCGATAATGCCCGTATTTTTCTCGTAGATTTCCTAGGTACCGAAATTAGTTATTGTCTAACTAACCGCCGTTAATTTGGGGGGTGATAGCAGTCCTTAAACCTGGCGACTCAGTGCCGGTCTTCCTATTGCTCAGTCGCAGAAGCACTGAATTATCACCTTGGTATCATGACTGATGACTTCAAAGATACACCAGACTAATGGATGACTCGGACATTGGTTCTCCACAGCTGCGTGGTGGAGTCTCTGGCGGTAGCACTCTGCTCAAACAAGTTGCGTGAGCGGGGAATTTTAGCATCACACAGATAAATTGCTGACCAAGAAACTACTATTGTATCGCATCAACCAGGCATTTGAGCAAGGGCAATCTGTGGACGCTATCTAAAAGATCCCTGTAGCTTGAGGATTTTCTTCCATTCCATTATCATTTTTTTGACAATAATTTCTAAGCTTGCTGTAAGGGGGAGACTGATTGTGCACGGCTAATTAGCGTCGAACAAGACGAGCTCTGTTGGCTTCTCAAAGAATATTTCGATTATGGACACTCTGCCCTCACTGGAGACTACCCTATATGAAGCAGGTCTTGGTCGATTTGAAAGTATCATCCGTGACGAAGGTAGCCGCTTGGTGCATTCTAACAGCAGTACTCTATCGTGGGACATTGGCGTTTTTAATATTAGCGAAACGTTTCTGTCTCGGCTTACTTATAATGGGGTAGGTCTAGATTTCTTTGAACCGAAAAAGAGCCCGAGAATAGAGTTAAAATGACCTTAAATCTAAGATCGTATTCGCAGATAATTACTGATCAGGCTGATGGTTGGTGGCCGGACAAAGGCATCCACGTTTGAAACTCGGAAAAGTGGACGAATTGCAAGCAGTGGCATGGAATTGGTGATTTATTGTCGTCTTGAAGATTGAAAGTATTTGAGCAAGGTTCACAGAACTGTCAATTTTTTAAATAAAGCTCACTAATTGCCTGGCAAAATTACAAATAGGGTGAAAGTCTTGAGTTACATTGGCTTGTTGAAGGAATTACATATTCTGAAGGATGCTCAGAATTTTCCGCGATGGCAAATCAAGAGCCAACGATAGGGCTGAGTCACCGTATGGATTTGTCAGTCTAACGTCTAAGACCTGGGTACTTTTAAAAATCAACAATTGGAGCATGTCGACATCTTGATGTTGAACTACCTCCATAAGAGGGGACCAGCCATACCTATCAAGTCGCATAGGATCAGCCCCTTGATCAAGGAGTAATCGGGCCAGCCTCATATTCCCCTTCGAGACTGCCAACATTAGAGGCAGATGAGCATTTTGGCTATTGTTTTCCACGCGGGCCCCATTTTTCAAGAGCAAAGCTGTCATTTCCACGCTGCCCTGTGCAGCGCCCAATGCAATGGATGTCCAACCAAACTTGTCAACTTGTTCAGGATCAGCACCATGTTCCAGCAGCATTTGCACCGTTTCCATATGGCCCATCACCACGGCCCAAGTGAGGGGTGTGCGGCCACATCGGTCCTTTCTGTGCAGACAAGCTCCTCGACAGAGGAGCTGTTGCGCAATCTGCACATTTCCGATCAAGGCTGCCCACATCAGCGGATCTCTGGTAAGCTTGTCAGCCTGGCTCGGGTCTGCGCCACCATCTAGCAGCATCTCTACAAAAGAACCGTTGCTTCGCTTCACTGCCCAACATAACATGGTTTCTTCGAGTGCGTCTCTAGTATTTGTACTTTCTCCATATGAAATGAGTAGCTTGGCAATGGCCAGTTGTCGTCCCTTGACTGCTACCCATAAGGCCGTCATTTCTTCTTCATATGTGAATGTGATGTCAGCCTTTGCGCCAAGTAGCTTCTCAACCATGCAGTAGCTGCCGTTCTTTACTGCCCAATAGAGTGCACTTTGATTAGAAGCGTTACGAGCATTGATATTTGCTCCTGCGCCAACGAGTACGGAAACAATCTGGTCCTGATTGTGTCGCGCAGCCAAGATCAACGGGGTATCTCCCAGCGCTCCGTACGTCTCAAGTCGGCTCTTTGCTTGAGGGCGTGCGAGCAATAAGTGAAAGACGAAGTTGTACCCCCGACTCACTACACACTCGAGGGCAGTTCTCTGCTGCTGGTCACATACGCCTAAATCAATTTGCTGATGACGCCTTACAAAACTAACAGCGGCTCCTTCATGTCCCCTGGCTAGGATATCAAGGAACTTGTATCCAGTCCTTGTTGGCTTGAGGATAGTGTGTAAACCTATGCTAGTGGTACTCAAGCTTGCGAAACCAGGTCGATCAAGGCTTCCGGCCACGAGAAGCCAGATCTCCCAGGGAAGTTCTGCCATTTGATTGTATTCAACCTAGGTGAAAGCTGACGAAGGCAAAATGTTGCGTGTTAAGTACTACGTAAGAACATAAGTCAATTTTGGCTTTAAAATTGACTTTTTGAGGGTCTTTCGACATGGACAGGATAAATTACAGAAGGGACCACGTCTTTTCTCGTCGGGAATAGCGATGATTAGTTATAAACTTCGAGGGGTCGTGCTAGCCAGGCAGTGGGCATGAACAGGGGTGTCAGACTAGGCTTCTAGACGTAAGACCACCTTAAAGTGAAGCTTCTATCAAATATTTTATTTGATTTCAGTTTTTAAATCTCTTCTGGACCTTGCTGTGGCCTTCTATAATATGCATATTTATAGCATAAGCTTACCAACAGGAGACATTGATAGAGTCAAACTAGATTGAAGTAATTTTATAACGTTACTATATCTTTGAACTATTGGGAATGGTGACGCGCTGTGTTTTGGCAATATGGCCAACTACAATGCCTCGACTTATGATAGAGGCTGCACAGGCGCTTAATTGTTTTTCTCCAAAAATGAGCCCCCAGAATGATCTGTGCCATCCCCAAGCTCGCAAAAGCCGCATTTGATTCAATAGAAGCTATCTTAACGTTAGTCGCCTTTTCCGTTGAATTGCAATCACAAAATTTTCGAGCACAAGCGTAGCTAGATATAGAACGTTGATGATCGGTCTTTACTATCGCTTAGTGGTCAATTCAGCCTTTTCTTTCCAATTGTGGCTTGAGTAAGGTTCTGCTTGATAAGGGTTTAATTCTTGTCTGCACTGTTCATGTTTTCTGGCTTCATACAAAATGTTTGGAAGCTTTACCAATCAAAATAATACAAGTCAGATATGATCGAGCAAAGCCCGGGAACGGCAACATCCCTTCGTACAGAAGCATTTCGTGGCAGATAGCAGCTGGTGTAGAAATTACAGGCGCCCTATTTCGTCTGATCCTATGGTGGGACGCGGCAGTTACCAGAATCCAACTGGCTTCATCATGCAGTAAAAAAAAGCAAAGTTATTTCGTTGTCCTCTAGTATACAGCCCTTCCTACTCCTCTAGAGCATGCGAAGCCGAAACAAATAACACATAATTAATCATATTCATCTACGCTTTCTTCATCCAAATCGGCCCATAGGGCATCCGGCCACGTCATGTTCGGCGCAAATTCGGAACCCTCCCTCCGCAGAAGCGCATTTATCAAAATCGAGTGAAATTTACCACGTCTACTTCATGATCATCTGAAATATCCAAAGGAAGATCGAGACCGCCTCTTTCTGGGATCACAACGGGCACTGAAGCTAGATCCATGCAGAACCTGGGGGCAAGGTGCTGGAATCTCTAGTTTAGAAACGGAACCCAATCATGACCAAAGTAGCCTATCATTATTTTTCTCCATGACATCACACTTACTCGCTCTTTCCATTTGACTATCAATAAATCCTGAAGTAGACTTGTGAATGAGCTGCACCGGACAACAGAATAAGATTCATCCTCAATGCTCTCCAGTAATTATGAATACGCAGACAGAGCTAGTGGATCTGCGATATGACACGCAGCATGTGACAGTCAGTTCCTTCCCTGGAGGTATAAAGATCAACAGATAACTTATGCCGCACATGAGACATACCGCGCACATCCATTTGGCCATCCAATAAAGCATTCCCACTGGTACATAACCCAAGGTGGATTCTGAGCTCAGTAAATGCTTCACTTGTTGAGCCTCTTTGTCTGTTTCACAAGCCTTTCTTTTTCTCAACGTTGATGGAACGCTTTGTTGGGGAGGTGATAATACCAGGTATGGTGGGGGCTACTGGACCGACTTGGAGACCATTCGCGAGCTAGAGTATCCTCTACTGAACGGTATGGTCTCTAACCCTAGTAATATTCTGGCTATGCTAATCATTATTTTGAAATGACCTCAGAAACTACCTACCTCGACCACGCTGGAACAACACGTTATGAAAAGTCTCTTATTGAGTCACTCTCGCATGACATGGTACCCAAATCAAATAGAAAAAACTCATTCAATGTCTCAATCCTCACAGAGATCTACGCGGCGTATAGAAGACGTGCGGCTGCGTGCCCTTAAATTTCTCAATGCCCATCGAGATGAGTCTGATCTAGTTTTTGTGGCCAACGCAACTGGCGCTATCAAGTTTGTTGCGGAATCGCTCCAAGATTAGGATTCACGGGGCTTCTGGTATGAATATTATATCGACTCCCGTACAAGTATTGTTGGTGTACGGGAGCTCGCCCAAATGGGCGACCAATGTTTCCAAGATGTTGATGTTGACACTTGGATCCCAGCACTAGGCGCTGAACAGTCGTAGACGCCCAAGTTATTTGCATTTCCGGCATAGTCTAATCTGAACGGCTAGCGGCTCCTGTTTGTTGGTGTAAGTAGATCCGCGCCGCTACTGGTGAGCACGAAGGAAATGTTTTCAGCTTGGTAGATGCCGCCTCATTTGTATCAACCGCTCCCCTGAACTTGAAAGAGTTGGCGCCCGACTTTGTCGCGCTCAGCTTTAACAAATCCTTCGAATTTCCAGACCTGGGGGCTTTGATTGTTCGTATAAGCGCCCCCTGTGCCCTCGAGAAGCGCAAATTCTTTGATGGAGGCACTGTCAATGTGGTTTTAGTATCGGAAGCGCAATGGCATGCGAAAATGACGATTTCGATCCACAAGCGTCTCGAAGATGGCACTCTTCCCTTCCACAGGATCATTCCACTAGATGCAGCCTTTGATACAGATGAACACCTCGACTTTCTGCCAAAAAGTTGTACGACAATCTCTCTTCGCTGAGACACTTCAACTGTACAAACTTCTGTAACATCTACCAGTCAGACTATGGGGATCTTGCGATGCAAAGCCCGATTATTGCTTTCAGTTTGAAGGACAGCCAGGGCAAGTGGATCCCAAAATCTGATATAGAAAGTCTAGCAGCCGCGTAAGATATTCAATTACGTTCTGGGTCAGCCTGCAACCCAGGCGAGACCGCCTCATCCCTGGGCTGAACAGAAAGAGAACTTCGCCTTCATTATGCGCAAGGTCTACGCTGCGGTGACAGCCATGATGTGCTAGACGCTCGGCCTACTAGCGTTCTTCGTATCAGTCTGGAAGCGATGACCAGTGTCAATTATATCCGGACTTTAGTCCATTTCATTGAGGAGAATGCATATGTGGATAATTTTCTACCTGTGATGTTGTAAATCTCATAATTTTGTACCTCTTTCTTGGCTCTAGCTGTACGCAAGCACTTTACAGGCTTTCGGGAAATAGATCGAGTCCAGCCCTTCATATGAAGTCAAATAGCTCAATCGAAGCCATCTTTACTGGTGAATACAGGGTACAGTACAATAAAAATGAGGTGCTTTTATTCTGCAGGAAAGCTCTACCTATTTCATACGAGCCACTTTTGTGATACGCACTCTGAAAAGTAATGCAGACACGAAGTAAACCAATTAGATAAACCGAGATAAATTTGCCTATAAATCACAAGCGTTTGTTTCAAATTCAAATTGACTTTTTCCTTGAAGAAATCCAAGTTCACTAAGACGAACCCCTCCAGTGAGTAATGTGTCCCCACAATGAAAGCTGTAGGATACTCCGATGCCTACGGAGGTCTAAGTCTTTTTCTCGTCTTTCTTATAATTATTCGTATGCCTTATTACATTACAACTTATGAAGACCGCGTGTCCCGCAGACATGTATGGCTGAAATCCAAGTAGATCCAAGGCTTTATACCTGTCAGAGAGGGCGGGGGATGGGGTTGCCATTTGATGCGCCTCTAATAACAACCATACCGCAAAGTCATGCATCTACGTAATCCTCCATCATTCTATAATCACTCTGACTGAGAAGATCTAAAGGTAATGGGTTCTATAAACGTTCCCAACGGGTCTCTTAGCTCTTGCAGTCCATGAGGAGGTAGAGCAAAACTTTCTACTTATCGGGCAAGACACTGGATGCCGGACAAAATTCTATATGTGCGAGTTGTGGTCCTTCGATAATCTGCATTTTACTCGCCGCCTTCATGCTCTACTACTCCATTTCAATACATCCATAAATCGCTTTTGAAGGATATCAATCTCTATTGAATCTGAACCTGAAGTTGGCCCGCAGAACGCGAACGACGTATGCGCCTCTCGCGGCTTCGTCTCAGCAGCAAACCTAAGCGAAAGACCTCTCACGTCAACCTGGAAAATCCCTGCGAGCAGGAGAAATACCTCCAAACTGTCACTGATACCGGCACACTTGAAAGTAGCTCTCATTTGGTTAGAAATGTACTGGAACAAGAAAATACATCAAGAGATTACAGGAAAATAAGCATCTGCCAATGTGACAGCAAAAGTGCGAAGTTTCGAACACATGACACCCCTTAAAATGGAGCTAGTAGACGAAGAACACTGCTACTCTTAGCTAAGTCTCCTACAGGCTCCTGATGACATCGGTTGCTATGGCTGCTTTTAAGATGGCTGTTCTAGACCATAAAAAATCGGCCTGAGTTGTTGGAGTCTGATCCTTCACGTCTCTTAGTCAAGACTATTTGAAAAGATAGTGCTGAAGAGAATGAGCACGGGCAGTGATTTGCTTAAATCAAATCAAAAGAAAAATCCTATTTCCGTTGATTCATGCATATCGAGTCAGACCTGAATACGATCCAGTTAAGTAGTAACTGGGTACTAGTATTGAAGTGTACTGTAACGGAACTACACCTCCCCTAAACTTAACTTATAAGTTACTTTTGAGTTTTCTTTAGCCAATGAAGTTTTCATCAAACTTGAAGCTTCCCGATGAACTTTCTTAGTGAATTATGAGCTGCTGCATGGTGCCAGGTACTGTAGATGAATTATAGCTCGGCAGTCTTTGCTGAGTAGTATGTGACTTTGCCAAAAATTGTTCCCATGCCGAGCTCGCCACAGCAGGAGCAAATATGTAAATGCGTCAACGAACCAAAATCATCTATGGCTTTTTACAGCCGAATATTTTTCCTTCCAACAAGGATCGATACAAACTCATTTGTCAAAAATAGCATTGTAGGTCTGAATCGCAGCTCAGAAATGTAGGAAGTAATTGGAACTGCTTAATAACTGACTCAAAAATAGCATGCACTACAGATGAAGACAAACCGAGTACCAGGAATATTTCAAAATACATATAAGTACCTGTCAAAGACGTTTTTCCTCTCAGTTTGACTGCTACTAGTATCAAAAAGCTAAGACACTTATCAACCTAATGCTTTTCAATCAGGCTTTGAAAGATACAATTGATACTGACGTTACCGATATGGAGGGTACTGATACAGATACCGATGCCACTGATTTTGATGCTACCGAAAATTTAGCGATTACCAGAGGGAATAGCTTGGAGGCTACAATGGCAGAAGCAAAACAGAAGAAGACAGCCGGACGTGGGGATACTACAAATGATCGCGCTACAGCGGCGACAGCTCCCACCCGGAAGAAGACAACCGGACGTGGAGATGCTGCAAATGATCGTGCTACAGCGGCGACAGCTCCCACCCGGAAGAATACAGCCGGACGTGGGGATACTACAAATGATCGCGCTACAACAGCGACAGCTCCCACCCGGAAGAATACAGCCGGACGTGGGGATACTACAAATGATCGCGCTACAACAGCGACAGCTCCCACCCGGAAGAAGACAGCCGGACGTGGGGATACTACAAATGATCGCGCTACAACAGCGACAGCTCCCACCCGGAAGAAGACAACCGGACGTGGAGATGCTGCAAATGATCGTGCTACAGCGGCGACAGCTCCCACCCGGAAGAAGACAACCGGACGTGGAGATGCTGCAAATGATCGTGTTACAGCGGCGACAGCTCCCACCCGGAAGAAGACAACCGGACGTGGAGATGCTGCAAATGATCGCGCTACTACGGCGACAGCTCCCGTCCAGGAAAGGAAGGAGAACGCCAGAGAGACTATCTTCCCTACATCCATGGACTTATTCAACTCACTTCCAGAGACTATGAACATATGGGATACAGATCCGGCATTCCAAAATGTGTATCATGCTGTCCATAAACTAGCTGACTTTCTTTGCGCTTTCGTCATATTTTTAATCCAGCTCTTAGCCGAACGCAGAGCATCTATTTAAAGCACTTGGGCTTCATTCGCAATCCCGAAGATTCTGTTACCGACTGACTTCTTGACGCATAATCATAACTGGAGGGTAATAGAGAAATATAAATGAAATCTCACTTTCGGTGAATTACAGTTCAAGCTGATATTGGGGGTAATAACCCAAGTGTCGTGTTTTAGATCATTAGACTGAATCAACAAAATATTATTTAAGGACTATCATCGAGCCATTGGAAAATAGTTTAGAGCTCATGCTCCCTAGACCAACGAGCTCTAGCAGTTCTGATCTTATTGCTGGGCTGGACTGATTGCAGCCAGAAATTTACAAAATGTGTAAGAAATCATTTCAGGCATAAAGCCGGAAGAGCACAGATCTCTCAAAAACATGGGTTTTAGGGAGTATTTTCAAATGTCTTTGGTATTCCTAATGACTACTTCCTTCCTTCTTCGACCTCCAAATTCGCCTTGGGCGAAGCTATTCAAAGGAGGTCCTACTTAGCTGGAGGTTTTCAGGAGATGCGAAGGCCGGAGTTGTCTGATTCACGAAAAAGGTACTTCTTACTGTGCTTGCTTGATACCATTTGGCCTGTGCTGTTAGGATCTTTTCAGGACTGATCTATTCTGTGAACATGTTGACTTACACTTGGGCGACGAGCTTTTAAGTTTAGGTAGGTTTGTTTGAGCTTAGGCTTACAAGTAGAAGTAAAAGAAATTTTCAATCAGACACAAGGCGCGAGAGGATATCGCTCCTGCTTGGCCACTGGATCAGGATAGAGGTAGATGATAAAATAACTTTGCAGCAGACAAGTCCACATGCTTCTTATGTTATTTACTTAGCTCAGACTCATACAATTTGTGTTAAAATTGCCGTTCGTGATGATGACTCACTGCTCCCAATGCGCTTCGATGGCGATAAGGGGTTGGACAAATTATTAGGCGCATTTAGCCTTCGTGTTGGGGACGGTGAGTTCTCGCACAAAAAGCTTGCTTCTTATCCTACGTTCAGGGCATACAGTAATATAGCTCTAATTTTCTCCGGCGGGAGTCCAATACCTTTGATGCGACGCCACTACTGATCGATGTAGGTTTTACGAAAGTCAAACTTTGCAATACGTGTACTGCGCCTCGCACAGAACTACGGTCTACTCACTCCCAAGTTTCAGCCGAGAGCTAGAGGCGTTCTTCTCAATGGATAATTTTGATATTGCAAGATTAACGTAATTCGCAATTTTGCATTCCTGTGGAGTTCGACGCCGGATGTTGCTATTTGCGATCAAGTTACACAATTAGCGTCACTCTTTTCATGGATCCAAAGAACTTTGTGCAAATCGATCTTAGTTTGTATGTGGATTGTAAGGCAGATCTTATAATTGCGTCTGACTCCATAATGTGTCTCGCGTATGGTAGCTGTGCACTCTAAAATCATGAAAAGAACCCTATCAATGGAAGACAATTTACATCTCGTATATATCGTGATACCTGAATCATTCCAAGTTCATCAATGTATGAAACCTACACGAAAGCGAATCTATGAAGGATAGAAACAATAATCAGGGAGTGCTGCAGCACCGAACCGCATGATCAAAATCTTTTTAAAAGCTATCCTTACAAACTTACTGTTTTCACTCCAACCAACTAGTTATTGAAATCAGAATTGGCTCCAAATAGCGTGTTTAATCCTGAAATGCTTTGAAACTGATCATCTGACATTCATCCGATACTCAGTTCTCCAAAGCACGACACAAAGTCGAACCTGGTCATTATTTGCAATTGTCTGGGACTGGATTTATGAGTTTGGCACTTGAAAAAAGATGCCAAGAAAAGGACTAGTATTCTGTTTTCGGTATATCATTGTCATAAGATATAACTATATGATCCGTACTATCGATTCTACAAGATATCTGTTTCTCCTGCACATATCTTTGTATATCAGACAGCGGAATATGCTTTCATGACATTTTGTACGATTTGATGGCTACAGCAGCTAGTTATGGAGCCTCCATTGGCTATTTTATGACTTTTTTTGGTTTAGTTGGTTTCTAGCGCAAAGCATCCACGGACAGAATAGATTGCTCCACGTTTCTCTGGAAGCCCTGGATCACGTGGCGCAAGAAATATGGATTCGAATGTGATCAATACTTATACGCGAACATCATGGGAGAATTGCAAGTTTTTAATTACAAAGGTATTTATTTAGGGCGAGACTGATAGTCACACGCCAAGCGCACTTTAATTTCGATTAGACCATCATCAAAACAACACGATATATTTGTGTACTTGATCGATATAGCTTCAATGCCGAAGATGCCTCACACAAGAATAGCACAAATAAACCTAGTTGCTGCACTGTATTGTGAATATGAGAACCGATTGCGCTTTATTTCGTCAAGCTCGGTTATTTGTCTGCCCCGTAGATCCTATGTCCGATACAGAATTAAAACCCCAAAGTCGCTATCATAGTCTTTATATTTCGATCAGTAACTCTGAAAGACGGTGCATTGGACTAATCCCCTCCACCCTCCGATATCAAAGCAAGAGGGGTCACTAGGCCTCAGTAGAGCAAGATGAATTCCATCCCCATTTTGCTTTCCATGACTGTCACAGTGGTTGTATGGGTCATTTCATGGGCTGGTACAGTCAACAGCGCTCTGTTAGTCACGAAACAAAGCACTAGCCGTCTTGTGTTCGCCCATTTCATGGTATGCTCATGCTAGTATGAGAAATGTGCTAAAAATGAGTATGTTAATGACTTCTCAACAGATTGGAGCAACTCGTAATCGGAAAAGTGCATCTGAATATGACGAGGACATGCGACGCGCAAGATCACTGGGTATTGATGCCTTTGCGTTGAATATTGGGGTGGATCCGTACACAAACCAGCAACTCGAGCTTGCTTATGAATCAGCTGCACAGAACATGATGCAAGTCTTCATTTCTTTTGATTTCAATTGGTGGCAAACGGAGCAAACCACCGAGATCGGTCAGACAATTGCTATGTTCGCTACCAGACCTGCTCAGCTAATTGTGGACAACAAAGTTTTTGCATCAACCTTTGCCGGTGACGGGTTGGACGTGGCAGCATTAAGAACAGCAGCTGGAATTCCGATTTTCTTTGCTCCTAATTTTCACCTCGCTTTTGGAACCGACATCTCAGCCGTTGATGGCCTCTTCAACTGGATGGCTTGGCCCCATAGCGGAGGAAACAAAGCACCGACACGTCACAGCAATATTTCTGTCTCGGATGGAGATCAGGTATACATCAATGCACTTGCAGGACGAGCCTACGTCGCCCGTAAGAGATTATTTCCATGGCCCACATTATCTCGCTTATTTGTCATCCACCTTTATCTGACTTCTGGAAAGCAGTGTCCCCGTGGTTTTTTACCCACTTTGGGCCCGAGGTACCATATAGCAAGAACTGGGTGTTCCCTTCAGATCTGCTATGGTATGATCGCTGGCATGAAATATTGACCATGGGGCCTCGTTTTATTGAAATTGTGACATGGAATGACTATGGCGAGTCCCACTATACTGGGCCCTTGCATTCTCCCCATACTGATGATGGAGCTTCAAAGTGGGTCAATGACATGTATGCATACTCTTAGAATAATATGCCGCCTCTCTAACATACGCAGGCCACACGATGGATGGTTAGAGATGGCAAAGCCGTTTATCGCAGCATTTAAAGCAGGCGCATCTTCTCCAGACAAATACATCACTTCTGATCAATTGTTCTACTGGTATCGCCCTACATTGCGGAATCAGAACTGCGACATAACAGATACGTGTACGGCTCCAGCTATTAACAATAGCGGGAATTACTTCTTAGGCCGGCCTGACGGTTGGAATTCCATGCAGGATTCTGTCTTCGTGGTCTCTTTATTGCGAAGCCCCGCATTAGTGCAGATCAACTCCGGCGGTAGGGCGTACCATTATAATGCTCCAGCAGGGAGCTTTGCCCGAGCGGTATCGATGTATACCGGAGAACAATCGTTCTCTGTTTATCGTAACGGGCAGGCAATTCTTGAAGGGACCAGCCTCAAACCAATCATCAACGGTTGTGTCTGTGGCTTATATAATTTCAACGCTTATGGTAAGACCTTTGCCAAAGGCCACATATTCGAATTCTGAGCATCATTTTTGATATATTGATTACAGTTGGCAGTCTCCCCCCAAATATCATCAATTCTCTACAGCCGGACGGCCTGATCTCCTTTTCTCATGGATTGCATGTTCAAACTTGCGAGGCCACACCTTCACTTAAAAGCTTGGCTCACCCTCCATCCGCGTCTTCAGCATATAAAATGCCCACAGAACAGACTTGTAGCACAAGCAATCTCTGGAGAGCTTCATCGACTGCTTATGCTATTCCACCAACAAAATCAACATAAAACAAGCGTATTCCTTGTGTCAATGAGATAATCATAGTCTAGCATGAAGCTTTATATGTTTGCAAAAGGATGCTTTCGTCCCACAAAGTGCATAGTAGTATGTTGAGTTCCATTATGGGCAATGCTTTGTCCCGTGAGAAGTGATCTCATGGAGAACATGAATCGTTTTTGAAGACGAAGGCTTCAGGTATATATTTTTTCCTGGAAAGAAGCATGATCGCGTGAAGTGATCTGGCCCTAGCTTCCTCACGAAATTATCATGGTATGATAAAAGTAGTCAAAGTATGAGTTCCTATATCATGCCCCCCGGATAGTAACAAACTGATCCTACATTCTTATCGCATTTTGAGGGCGCTGGCACAAAAGAAGGAGAATCTTAATGGTTAAGATCTGGCCTTTTTATTTGCGATGGTAACACACGGTATGCATGTATACGTAGGCATGGGGCTGTTGTGCTTACTTACCTGCGGGGTTGGGGCACAGTGCTATTCGTTGATTGAAATTTTGCATTGTTGACTAAAATTGAAATAGTGTAATTTTTTTTGCTCTATGACATGTGCGCGTTACAGATATATATCTAGTGTTTATATACATGGCAGCTTTGGAGGAAGGGGTTGATTACTGCGTCGGAATTTGGTCAATCAGGCCCCAGTGAAACGAAACACAGGGGCGAGATTCAGATCAAAATTTGGGCCAACGCGATACGAATTAGGCAGATTAAAGCGCACTAAATTAGTCCGTTGGAGCCCCAGAACACTGAGTTACAATAAATAGACCGTGAATACCCCACATCCCCTTTCACCGCAATACCGGAAACGATAAAGGAATATGATGAAACAGAGAACTCTAAGTAGACCCAAAAAAAGCAGAACATACACTTAGAAGTGCTCTGATGTTGTGTGACTTGGAATGTCTTTAGTTTAAAAACTGCTCAGTATAATTATTGGAATCTTGTCTATACAGACTGTTCTAAATGCGACTGTCTATCCTATTAACGCAATCACGTTTGGTAGTGGCCGTAACTGATTATCGCAGAGTGAAAGCCACCGCAAATCTAAGTGGCTGGCAAATTGCTCGTAGAGTTAAAGATTGGAGATTTTACACAAGTTTATTGGGTTGGGTTGCCTGACGTTATTTTAGCGAACGAAATTACAAGTTTTCCTAGATGCTCATCTCGCCTCCGATATTTTTTCTCCCTCAAGATCTATTGAAATGCAAATTAAGCAGATAAACGAGCAAATTTAGGGCTATATGACAGTTATCTGGAAGTGACACGAAAGAAAAAGGAAAATGAGATAAAGAATGGAAGAGAAAGAGAGATGAAAGTAAGCTTTAAGTTACATAGGCATAGTGACATAATCTTATAGTAATTTCAGAAAGAGCGTTCAAAGAGTTCGATGATGACGGCATCGTGATGCGAAACTATGCTACGAGGATTTGCAGCTTAAGATTCTTGAACAAGAGTGGGCCACTATCTTCCAATACATTTAATTTCTTCCACATCAGCCCCATGCTCGAGAAGAAGTTGTACCATTTCCCTGTCACTATTCAACATGGCCCACATTAGAGCTGTTTGGCCATTACCATCGGCTTCGCTCGCGCGCGCTCCATTCCGAAGAAGCACAGTAGCCATGGAAATATTGCGATGAATGACCGCCCAGATGAGAGGCGCCCGGCGGTCCGGTTTTGTCTGATCAATTTCAGCGCCGTTGCTAAGCAGTAACCGGACCATATCCACGTTGCCCATCATCACAGCCCAGACGAGCGGTGAGCGCTCTTCTTCATTTCCAATTGAATGAAAAGTGGCCCTTTTGTTATATGAGATCAGGAGGTTTGCAGTTGCAATATCATCCGAAACAACGGCCCAGGCGAGAGGCCGATGGCCTTGGCCATCAGGTTGCTCTACGTCACATCCGTGTTCTAGCAATGCTGTAATAAGATCGAGCTGACCGCTCATGATGGCCAAAATTAGTGGGGTGAGGCCATGTCGAACAAGCTGGTGTGGGTCTGCTCCTCTTTTCAGCAGCACGCGTGCTAGATTTGGCTTTTGGCGCTTGATTGCCCAGAAAAGGACGCTTTCACCACAGGCATTTGGCACGTTGACATCTGCTCCTGCGTCCAACAAGAGTTGCAAAGATTCCTCGTTCTGATATCGGGCAGCAATTATTGAGGGGGTATCACTTTGTCGGTTCTCTGGCGCATTCAACAATTCTTTGTGCTGCAAATTCCTCGTTAGAAACCAAATTAGTTTCTTGTAATTCTTCATAGCCGCGTAGTGTAAGACCGTCATATGAGCAGCGTCTCTTACTCGGATATCGACATACTCCGACCTTACAAGAAACTCCACCGACGAAATTTCAGGTTCACGGATGATGATTTGGAGAAGCTTGCATCCACGAAGTAGCGGCATGATGATACTCCGCATGTATGTGCCGGTGGCACCCATTGCCTGAAGATCTCTAACTGCGAGCCTTTTTGATATGAGGAACCAGATCTCCGCCGGAATTCGGTCTATTGTTTTGTGAGATCTGATAATCATTGTTTGAGAAACCAGTGGTTCGGAAGTTGCTTAAAGCAAGCAAACGGATCTGTATCTTTTATACCACAGATGCAAGTGAGCCATTCTGACCCATTGACTCGTTTGTCCTTTTGTTTGTTGCTATTGTCATGATTGTTCTACAATATAGCGATATTGAATTGTATAACTTATCATGTTCCTTTGTCGTTCTTTCTAGATAGATCAAACATTACCTGGATTTTTCGGTGGTTAGTCGGCGAAAAACATCTAAACGCATGCACCAGGCGGACTGGCCGTTTAAAAAAGTACATAATCAAGATCACCATGCGTTTAAAGGAGTAGGCAGCTCTTGTGGGGGTGACTTTATCTAAGGGAGAGATATCATGGCAGCAGGAGAAAAGGATATAAATTTAGAAGCTAAAATTCTCAGACATTTCAACGATAGAGGAGAATGGGGTATTTCAGAGAACACCTCCAGAGCCAAGAGGCGTAATTAATTAAGTCTTGTAAGATCTCTTCAAATAGAAGTGAAGTCCTGTGCCACCAGTCAGCTTTGTAATGCCGATGGCTCCTAACACACAGTTGGTCTATTGTAAAACTGAGCTTTAACTACACAAAAAGAAATTACAGTTGTTTTAGCATACAATGATCCAAAATGCACTTAGCCGGTCAAATAGAACACTTTATCGTGCGTCAGAAACGTCATTTCTGGATTCGATCCAAGGATATATTAAAAGATTTGACATATCAAAGGGCTTTTTTTAGCAAAATAGCTGAAGCCACCTGTGATCCGAATATTTGCGTTATGGCAACATCAGATCTCACGCACGATTTGGCCAAATAGGCATTGATAGACAAACACATCGAAAGAGGCATTTTGTGCAGCGTATCGTATATTTATAGTGATCCTCCGAAAATGGAACAAGTCGGTTATTGTCGCTACAAACCAGAGATCTCGGTGAGTTACACTACGGTAAGAGGCAGTTAAGCTTTATAGACTGTGACCATTTCCAAACTCATGCTCAAATTAGCCCCAAGGCGCACTATTGTAGGTTTATAAAGAGGAGCTGGTACCATGTAATGCCCTGGATAGCTGGAACCTGTGTTACATATCACAATGATCAATAAAGCACTCTTTGGGCTTGTTATCACTTTGACTGGCGTGTTATGGAAGGCCGACAATAGCATTACGAAAAACAAAAGCATGGTTTCACGGAACTTTCTTCTCATAAACATTGGATTAAGCGTAATCCTCAGCGCTATGTCAGATCACACTACCGGCTGGATTCCTGGATCTGAGACTTTTCTCAAAACGGTGTCTACTGTCTTCGTTCACTTTGCAATGGTTGAAATGATCGCTGTCGCTGTTCAGGCTGGAATTCAGTACGAGACCAGGGGATTGCTCTACATACTGGGCAAGATTATGTTGATTTTGACTTATCCCCAACTCAAGGTAGTTTGGTTGCGAATTTTATACCCGACAGTGGCACCATGGTGTATTATGCTTAGCCATAAGACTGGAAATCCCTTTGAGTGGCTTTCTTAATAATTTGAGAATGAGTTGGCTATTCATATTTCCTGTATCTGGTCTCAACGCGTTTTCACAGACACAGACAGATTGGTTACCTGCTTATTCCAAAGGCAAGCTGTCTTTTCTTTTTCTGGAAACCAAAATACAGGAAGAGCCGAGCGTATATGCATTCAAAAGCAAGTTTCAACCAATTCCAGCTAAGTCAGTAGTGCCAAGCATCCAAGAAAGAGACGAGATATATTCAAAACAGTAAAGGGAACGCATAATTGTTTATTGTTCGACTGGAAGTTGTCAAATATTGTGACTATGGCACGTCCTGGGATCATACTCATTTCAAAGCATCTATCACCACATTTTTTATACTCTAATCTCGTCGTTATCCGTAATCAACCGTTGAAATATTCTTTTGCCTGTAGGACAGATGGCCTGATTTTTATGAAGGTGGAATGCATCGATATAAGCGAGGTCCGGTCGTATTATCAGTTCATCCTTTAATGTTAGACAAGATGAGTTTGAATTAGCAATTTGTGGCTTGTTCTTGATACTTTGCTCTTGATTTCTCCTTCGTTCCCTTTACGTTGTTTGTGCCTCTTTCTAGAGTAGCGATCGTGGTACAAAACTGCAAGAACAAACTATGATCAAGTTCGTCAAGTTTTACAAACCCGACTGCACGAAAATAGCATACGGCACCCAAGCTATAACTTGATGAAACTTCTGAGCCAGCAAGATTCGGACCCCATATTTTTATTTTGTCGACTACATTTGAAGAGGATATCTATTCTGTGTATACGAGCGGTTACTTACTGGCTCTAGAACTGTGATTCGAAGCACTTAAAATTATCAACGTCATGTGCTCATGAACAATTGATCATTTTCAATCTGATTGGAGTTGGATGGCACATCCCATACAGTCAACTTGAGGTCAAAGATGTGTGCAGCCTGATTGAAGCGGCATTACAGTTCTTGGCGGCTTTACTCTCGGGCTTCTGCTTTAGCATTTGATGGATCGATATGCACCGACTCGGGAGCAGAAGCGCCAGAGAAGCATAAATCACAGTACCTCAACGATGGTGTTAGATATATCGCTGCACTGCGGTCATATGGATGGCTTATATTACACATGTTCCCAACAAGTGGTAGTTATTGCAGACTCTGGCTTGTTTTGCACGAAAATTTTGTTCGTTGGAGGCATCTCATGACGAGCAAAGGGATGTATCTGTGGTACGTACCCCAGTTGACGTGTCATTCTACAAGTACCATGGCAGTCAATTCTTTGCTGACCTCTTCGCTGACCTCGGAAAAACTGTATACGTCAAGCCAGTGTGACAAAATAAACACGCGGTCGATATCTTAGAGCTTCGCTCCTTGTCCTCACTCTCGTGCTTTGCGTAAGGTGAGCAAGAAGATCGTTCCTAATTTGCCGAGCTTAGTACTGTCATGAGGACCACTTACGACGAATAAACCGTTCAGATATCGTCATTGGCTCGTACGTAGCAGGAATAAATAACAAAGAAGAACTAAGTAAAAAAGGGTGAGGCGGGACTCGGTGTGGTAGACTGATTAGCAAGAGGTTTGCGATAAAAAATTAAGGACTCAGCTTTGCAACTTTTGTGATTCTTTCAGTACGAGACCTGGCTTATGATTCTAGTCACGAGATAATTATTCATTGTTTTCCGTCATGTCACAGCACGTAGGCAATGATGGCGCGAACCCGAGGCAACGTGTGATCATTTTGACTACGTGTGATTGCACGCAAACATAATGTCATGCTGCACTATAATGTAGCGCCATTCGCGCCACAAGAACTACCTCATCGCTGTCTTAATCATCACCATCATCGCAATAATTCCTCTGATTCTCAATTTGGGTCTCGGAAAGTCGTCGACGGCAAAGCGGACAAGTATCGCTTACTCTGCGCCTTTGGTAGATACACTCCCGGTGGAACGAATGCGAGCAGGCAAGGATTGTGACCTTCTCGCCTAATCCAAACGGATTCCAACAAATTGTACAGCCTTTGGAGTTATCGGGGTTACAGCGTAACATTGGCAAAACAACTCAAGAGCTCATTGCCATACCGCCCGGAAGTAATCCCTACTTAAAGCATTCATTTCATAATACTTCCTAGAATAATTCAAATTTGCCCTGTCCAAAATGAGATCTGGCACAATACACTCATCTCTGTCATGAACTGTTGAGAGCTAAATGAACCGAATGTGAGAGGTAACTTAATGCAAGTCCTATATTAGCCGTAACGAGCTGAATTGACCGGCTAAAACGGAAGATTTTCCAGTACTTGATCCGCTTTTTGTCTCATATCTTTGAAAAACAAACTTAAATTAGCCTGAGATTGTGATAGTGAGATTAAAACTGTAGGTATGTTCAATTCAGTGTTAATTAAGCGCCTGGAGAGCTTCAGCGTAGTTTCTGAGCTCCCTGTCTTATACAATATGTGACCGCCTTCTAGTATCCCAAATCATGCCACACCCAAATCCGGCAATATTTGCCAAGTCGTAGGAATTGCTAGGCTACGCTTGCGTGGGTCTTGCAAATATAAGACTAGAGGCCTTTTGGACCAGTTCTTATCGCTATTAGACTAGCACATGCCCTTTGATGTTTTGGAAGAAACCTTGCAATTATCACCAAATATATGAGCAAGCGCGTATTTTAAATATCAAACACAGAGTGAGAAACAGAAATCAAGCTCGTCTTGAAACAGCCATGATTCGTTCTCTGTACTATTAGCTCACAGGGGAGACAGAAACAATAAAGACGACTTCGTAGTTGGAAAAGGAATACGCGGGGAAGTTAGCTGTCCACCCAATATTGGGGTTGACTAAATGCAATGATGTGAAAATAGAAGACCAAACACCGCCGTACCGATTCAGGTACAAACAAACAAACAAACAATTCATTGACGCCCGGCGGCTGAGCCGAAAGGGCAACTATCACTGATCTACTGTACATGTCCATCTGTATATGCTGTATCTCCTGAAAGCCCATACATAAAATCTTATAACATGTGTCATTTCCAGAAAGCAGTGTCGCAGCGAGTTTCTCGTGGGTTAGTAAGTGGGTTAGTAGGCTGGCTTGAAGGCGCTTCTCCAAGTGTTCAACATCCTATCTTCGGCAGTTGAAGCGCGTCTACCATGTGTAGCACGAGGTGGTGGGTAAGTAGGGTAGGAAGAAGGGGGTGGGGGTTATGTTGGTCGATATGTTCAAGTGGCCTCGAGTCGGCCCGTCGCAATGGCGAAACGTATGGAGGCCCGTACTGCCTCTAAGTTTGGCGTCCACTTCTGATCATCAGAAGGCTGTTTTCCGCCCAGGAAGAAGGATATGTTTCCTCGGTGAGTCTGTGTGCATTGTAACGTTGGGAAGATTGTGACCATACCCTCGAAGT